TGGTTAATTTTTTGTATTTTTTTATTTGTTTTATTATTTTATATAAAAATAATTTAACAATCCCTACACCAAAACTATGATAAAAAAAGATACAATTTTACTTAATTCCCTCACTATCAATCCCCTCTATTCTACCTCTGAAAACAAACGAGGCCTATAGTATTGTATGTGGAGTAGAACTCATCATGAGATGAGATTGTGTTGATATAGAAGTCTTGAACTTAAAATTGTTTGGGAAAAGACTTTTGGATTACTCAAACTACTTGCTAAGCAACACACTAGTTATTATAAATAGGGGTAAACTACTAAAAAGTCCTAATAGTTGGACTTAATTTCCATAAAGTCCCATTGAAAATAAATTCTAGTAAAATTGTCACTAAAAATAATTTTTTGTCACGGTTTTTATAAATTGTCGCTAAAACTTACAATTAGTGACTTTTTCTGTGACGAATTTCTCAAATTGTCATTGAAAATTGAAAATTAGTGATGCTTTTTGTGATTATTTTTTGCTAAACTGTCACCAAAATTTATAATTAATGACTTTTTTTGTGATGAAATTTTCAAACTGTCACTGAAAATTAACAATTAGGGACTTTTTAAATAGTGTTTGATGAAAAATATCATTAATTATCATAGGACTTATTGGACAATAAACTTACCTATTACGACCTAATTGTAAAACCACACTCCCATAGGTTGAGATACGTTATTTTATACATTAATTTGTCCATTAAATATTTTGATGATATTGGAAGACTAATTTGGGCATTGAAGGACCCCAGCCATTCAACGGTAAGGAGTTTTATCTTGTAGATGGAAATCACATGGTGGGTCTGATAATCTTATATGTGTCATCATCAAATACGAAAATTTGGATGTCCTCAGTGGCGGAGCCAAGAAACTAAATAAGAAGGGGCACTTATTAATTACAACTTTAATTTTTTTTTCCATAACCAACAATAAGAAGATAATAGTAATTTTTGAATTAATATTAAGTACAAAAACTTAAATAAATTATTACAAAAATATTTTACATAAAATTTTACAATTAATTTCAAGTAAAATTGAAAAGAAAGTATTGCGTGTAACTAATGTATCATGGATAATGTAAAAAATTCATATATTTAAGTCATAAAATAAATTATATAATGGTAAGATAATCAAATTTTTACAAAATTTTGAGTAAAAATTTCATATAATAGTGATATCACATCATTAGTGACATATGATATCACCAACCAATAGTAAAGCAACATATGAAGGGTGAAATCCACATGCAAATATAACTAACACTCGAGTAATTTTTACATATATATAGTAAGATTAATTACATTTGCATATCAATAATGATAGATATTACCTTTATATTGAGATTTTTTCATAAAATTTTCATACCCAAAAATATAATTTGTTGTAGTCACTTTATTTTCAATAAAACAATCACTATTGTTTTCATAAATTTAAAAATGCCCTTGACATTTTATTCTAAATATTATTTTTGTTTAAAATTTTATTTATATACATATGTACAAAAAAAAAAAACCAAAAAACAAAAATCCAGGGGGAGCACATGACCCCCTGGTCACCATGTGGCTCCGCCACTGGGTGTCCCTACAGCGACAAAAGCCTCATGTTGTGAGAGGGAGAGTGAAAAGGTATAAATGAAATATAGTTACATTTCATTTACTTTTTCCTTTCCATTTCTAAATCGTTATTCAAATTCATAATTCAAACATAATCTAAAGTCACAATCCACTCACCAGGAATGAGACTCAAGCTGATTATTTTAAAGGGGAAATTATCTATGAGTGGAAGTATTAGAAATTTTTTACAAGATCCTAAAAAGGTTCTACTACTTAATTATTAATGTGTATAAAATTTACGATTAATCTGTATTTAAAAAAAAAAAACGTACACTAGATTGAAATTTTTCCGATTTTAAATGCATAAAATGCTATGGGAACAAAAAAAAGTCACAACACACTCATTAGGAAAGAAATATAAAGCAGAGCATTTAGCTATTAGAACATGTGGACAAATAAAATAAAGACAAAAAGACATTAATAGAGACGAAACGTCTGTGCATGAAATGGCGTAAAATTTGGACAAGAACACATGAAAACGTCATGACAATCATAACCTATTGTTTTGCCATGCCCTACAAAGAATTTTGAATGAGTTCCAATGTTTAGGTGGTCAATTTTTACTATTTTGCCGTATGTGGAAATATTTGTTTCATATGTAAGTTAATGTAGGGGTGGGTGCAGATCGGTTGCGGTTACAGAATCTCCAATCTATCATTCGTCCACCAAATTGGTGGAATGAAAAAATCACTCCGCATCCGTCTGCAAATCCGGCCGATATAGATTGAGCGGATTGGCAGATGGATGTGAATCGGTTTAGCGATATAAAATTTTATAAATGTTCAATATAATTCAACTTGTGCACTTCCTAAAAAAAAAAAAAAGTATTACAGGTACTATATATCTCATCCAAAGAAAGAAAGTTTGAAACTTTAGAATATTACAATCACTACATACCTCATCCACATATTACAATCACAGTATGTCTCATCTACATAAAGTCTTACAATTTGTGGTTCTTAAAATATAAAAACAATTCAAACCACCAAAATCATGAACAAAACTGTATTAGAGATTGTATGACTCTGTATTGTTACGTCTATATCTGTTTTTTAAAATAAAAACCAACCAGCATATATCATCTTTTTTATTTATTATTTTTAGAGTTAGATTTAAAAACCAAAAAATATAGATAAATAATACATTTATTTTTTTCAATTCAAAAAATATATTCAATAGAATATTTAAACTCCTTTTCAATTAAGAACGCAAACAGGATATCTAAACAAATTGAAAACACAAAGTCTTGCAAATTACTAAAGGTGCTCAAGGTTTGGCGGTTCGGTTACGGCCAAATGAATCTTAAATCCGCCATCCGTCCAAAACTAAACAGATTGGAAAAAATCAATCCGCAACCGTCCGCTCGTCATCACGCAGCCGTCCAAAATGCAGCGGATCGGTTTGGTTCGGTCGGTTTGGGCGGATCGATATATCCACTGCTCACTCCTAAATGTAGACAAATCCAAATTTGCTTAGTTTTTTTTTCAATATATTTTTTTCCCTTCCAGTTTCTATATTTGAGCTTAACCCGAATCTTTCTGATTTTGGTAACCTTTCTTTTTTCTTTTTTTTTTAATCTTATTTGAATTTAGCAAATTGGTCTTCAATTTGGGTTTCCTTTTTCTTTTTGATTTAGGTTTTCTCAATCTCAAGTATAAATGGACATATACAAGGCAAATCAGTTGACTTTGGAGAATTAATAATATGGGAAAGAAAGTATTTCTTTTTATCAAATTTGTGATTATTGTTTGTGTTTGAGTGTTCATCTTATTACCCTTTCCAGCATCAAAAAATTATTTAGTACTCTTGAACAAGTGTTTCATTTCATTTAATAATTTGCACATTTCATATTATCTTCTAAATTATCAATACAAAAGTAATGGGTCCTATATTTAAACCAATAATCATCAATCTGGAGTACCACTTGAACTTGCTCCAAAATCACCGAATAATTTATCAGTAAGGAATTCGCACCCCTTATTATTGTCACGTGACTTTTCATTTTTTTTAAACTTAATTATTATTTAATAATTTTGGAGCATAATGTGGCGTCACTTATGTGGCAATCCAAATGTAATCAAAAATTTTATAATAGGGCATACTCATCTTTTTTAAGTAGTTAAAAAACAAAAGATAAATAGTATCAGGTAATACCTTGAGAACATTTAACAATTTTATTTATTTATTTTTAACATCATTATATGACTTCTTGTTCCGTTTTCTTTGTCCAAGTCCATAGCTCATTTAATGTGAGAGAGAGAGAGAGAGAGAGAGAGAGAGAGAGAGAGAGAGTTGTCAAATTTGGACAAACAGTAAAGTTGTCAAAAACACGTTGATCAACTATCCCATATTACACGGTCTTGGGTAAAACTCACCCCAAAAGTTAGCTATTAAGGTGAGGGTGCCCTCACGTTTATAGGCTTAATATTACTGTAGTACTCAGGCGATGTAGGACTTCGCTTCACACCCTCCCTCACGCCCAGCGTACTCACTCGGCAACACCTACGGCGTGTAGGCCAGGGACACGCACCCTACCCATCCTTGAGTACTCTGGCTCAGATACCATGTTACACGGTCTTAGGTAGAACTCACCCCAAAAGCTAGCTATTAAGGTGAGGGTGCCCTCACGCTTATATGCTTAATATTACTTTAGTACTCTGGCAATGTGGGACTTCGTTTCACACCCTCCCTCATGTCCAGCGTGTTCACTACACGCCTCAAGGACACACACCGCAGGGACACACACCCTACCCATCCTTGAGTACTCTGGCTCAGATACCATGTTACACGGTCTTAGGTAGAACTCACCCCAAAAGTTAGCTATTAAGGTGAGGCTGCCCTCACGCTTATATGCTTAATATTACTTTAGTACTCTGGCGATGTGGGACTTCGCTTCACACCCTCCCTCATGTCCAGCGTGTTCACTCAGCAGCACCTGCGGTGTGTAGGCCAGGGACACGCACCCTACCCATCCTTGAGTACTCTGGCTCTGATACCATGTTACACGGTCTTGGGTAGAACTCACCCCAAAAGCTAGCTATTAAGGTGAGGGTGCCCTCGCGCTTATATGCTTAATATTACTTTAGTACTCAGGCGATGTGGGACTTCGCTTTACACCCCATTCCCCAGTTCAAAAAAAAAAAAAAAAAACAAAAACTACCCCATTCTCACTTGACAATGCTGCCATGTTAGAATCTGTAGGTTATATAAATTGAAACAAAACAAATTTGAAAGCTAACTTTGAATACCCACAAAAAATAAAAAATAAAAATAAAAATGGCATTTCCACTTTCAACTTCAAGGATGGGTTTTGGGCTGTTCCAATTATGTTACTTGTGGAGTGGCTATATCTCATAGTCACTACTACCACCTCCACGAATACCTTTGTTGGGATTGAGAGTGATCGCCTTGCATTGCTCACCTTCAAGACAATGATAACACAAGACCCTTATGGGGTTGTGAACTCATGGAACAATTCTAACCATTTATGTGAGTGGAAAGGTGTTAGATGCGGTCATCAGCACAAGAGAATCACCATTATAGACTTACAATCCAGAGATCTAGTTGGTTCCTTGTCTCTTCACATTGGGAATCTCAGTTTCCTTCAAGAGTTGAGGCTCAATAACAACACTTTTCGGGGTGAAATCCCTGCTGAATTGGAAATCTGTTTAGGCTGCAAAAATTGAACCTGAGCAAAAACAATTTTGAAGGAGAAATTTCAGCCAACCTTTCTCGCTGCTCAAACCTCACATACCTTGGTGTAGGTTCCAACAATCTAGTTGAAAAATTCCCCGAAGAGCTTACTTCATTGTCAAAGCTCATATACCTTGGAATTCACTTGAACAATTTGACAGGAGGTATTCCTCCGTTCATTGGGAATCTTACTTCTCTTGTAAGAATTACTGTGGCTTATAATCCTTTTGGTGGAAGTATTCCAAATACCTTGGGACAATTGAAAAATCTAAGTTTCCTTGGATTGGGTGTCACTCAACTCTCTGGTATGATCCCTTCTTCCATTTATAACCTCTCCTTACTAACTGTTTTTTCTGTCCCTTATAACCAACTTCATGGTAGTCTACCACTGGGCTTTGGTTCGATGTTTCCCCATCTTCAAATCCCCAGCTATATTGTAACCAATTTATTGGACCTCTTCCGCTTTCAATATCCAATTCTTTAGACCTAGTAAGTTTTGATGTGGGAGAAAACAACTTCAATGGGAAAAAAACAAATGATTTTGGAAGCCTACAGAATCTCAGGGAGATAACTATATCAGATAACCATTTCGGAAGCAAGGAACCTGATGAACTAACCTTTCTTGGTTCTTTGGTCAATTGTAGCAATTTGGAAAAGTTGAGTATGGAGAAAAACCAATTCAGAGGGGTATTACCAGATTCTATGAGCAATTTATCAAACCATCTCTTTTTTTTTAAGGCTTGACGAAAACCAAATATATGGAACTATTCCTTCAACAATAGGTAATCTTGTCAACTTGGCTTTGTTAGGTATGCATAGCAACCAATTCACCGGCAAAATTCCCCCTAGCATTGGTAATCTTCAGAAGTTGCAAAGGTTGAGTTTTGATAATAACAAGCTCTCGGGAAAAATTCCAAATTCCATTGGAAACTTGTCATTGTTGACTGAACTTTACTTGACGGGCAACATAATAGAGGGGACCATACCCTCAAGTCTTGGCAACGGCCAAAATTTGTTGTTGTTGCACTTATTTCAAAATAACCTGAGTGGCACCATCCTGGAGAACTCTTGAGAATCACATCTTTATCAATTTCATTAAATCTAGCTCAGAACCGTTTGTTTGGTTCCTTGCCTACTGAGGTTGGAAACCTCAAAAATTTAAAGGAATTGGATATTTCTGAGAATGGGTTGTCTGGTGAAATTCCTAGCAGTCTTGGTAGTTGTACTAGCCTTGAAAACCTATACTTGCAGGAAAATTTCTTCCAAGGATCTATTCTTTCATTAGAAACTTTGAGAGGGATTGCAGACTTTGATCTTTCTCATAACAACTTGTCTGGCAAAATTCCAACATTCTTAGAAAAATTTTCCGTACAAAAACTCAATTTGTCATTCAATGATTTTGAGGGTGAGGTACCGATGAAAGGAGTTTTCACAAATGTGAGTGCGATATCAATTATTGGAAATGATAGACTTTGTGGTGGCATTTCCGAATTACAACTACACAACTGCATCACCCAAAAATCAAAGCATAAGATGCCTCTTTCACATATATTACCAATTACAGTAGCTTCTGTACTTGTAGGAGGAACCCTAGTGTCTCTCTTTATAATTCATTGCTTCAAAAAGAAAAGAACAACTCATAATACAATCCCATTGTTGAAAGAATTGTTCTTGAAAATCTCTTATGAAAAACTCTTCAAAGCAACAAATGGTTTCTCTTCTGCGAATCTGATTGGTTTTGGTAGTTTTGGTTCTAAATATAAAGGGATTCTTGATCAAGATGGGGCGTTTGTCGCTGCTGTTAAAGTACTTAACCTTCAAAACCGTGGAGCTGCAAAGAGTTTCATGGCAGAGTGTAAAACTTTAAGAAATATTCGACACCGAAACCTGGTCAGGATCATAACTTCTTGTTCTAGTGTTAATTTTCAAGGAAATGAGTTTAAAGCACTAGTTTATGACTGCATGCCTAGTGGGAGTCTAAAGGGATGGCTGCATTCAAGTCCAAAAACTAATAATGGGCAAAATGAGCACCGGAGAGTCAATATTCTAGAAAGAATAAACAATGCCATAGATGTGGCTTGTGCACTTGATTATCTTCATCACTAATGCCATACACCGATCATTCATTGTGATTTGAAGCCGAGTAATATCCTTCTTGATCATGACATGTGTTAGGTTTTTATTCTTGGCAATCCCGGTTAACAAAACTCCTTTCGGTTGTACTTGTTTTTGCACTTTTATTTCAGTGAGGCTATGATTTTTTATATGCGAATCCAACCCGAATTGTGCCTTGCAGAGAAGTTTGTGGTGTTAATTCTTTCCAGGCGGGGTTGAAGGGCAGCGGCCCTGAAGCAAAATGCAAAAATGCATTCAAAGTTGCCTGTCCGCTTGAGCGTCCATTTCCCCGCTCGAGCAGAGAATGCTTGGTTCCAGAAGTTTGGCCTGTCTGCAAATATGCTGTGAGGCATGTTTTTAAGCTCGAGCATCCATTTCCCCGCTCGAGCGTACATCCTGGTTTGGAACACGCGATATAGAGTCCCTGCTCGAGCGTCCATTCCAACATTCGAGCGCACCTCGCAATTTTAGATTCTATAAATCCTCAAGTTGCTCCAAATCTAGGATTACGACTTTCAGATCTTCTTTGAGGGTCCTAGGGTTTATATCTAGAGTTTCTTTTCTAGTTTTCTTTGATTTTTAATTGAGTATTCAACTCATGGTTTAAGAAGGATACATCAAAGGATTGTTTGCTTATTCAACATAAAAGAGAGAGTTGTTCTTCGGTGGATTCCGCAAAATTTGAGCCTGAAGCTTTGGTGGATTCTAGAGTGGCTCATCGATGTGATTTGACATCGGCGTTGTGGATTCAACGTTGGGCAAGACAATTCCAAGGTGAAGACAGGGTTGGAAGAGGCACATTGGGGTCGGTTCAATTTGGGCATGGATTCGCTAGGTAATTGAGAGAACACTTGTGTAATTCCTTTATATCTTCTTAGTGGATTGTTTTGTGGCTTTTGCCCGTGGTTTTTTTATCACAGTTGGAGGCGCTTCAATTGTGAGTTTTTCTACGTAAAATCGTTGTGTTGGTTTGTCTTGATTGTTTAATTGGGATTGATATTTACTGCTTAAAATTGATACAAAATCACAAATCATTACACTACTAGAAAATTGATTTTTTGCATCTATTTTTTTGCGACCGTCTATTTAACCATAGCAAAAAAATATACTATTTTCTAATCTCGTTTATGTATGTGCTTTATTTCACTTATTTTCTTTTATTTATATTTTCCCTAGTCAGCCTTGCTCAAACTCTCGACATCGCTCTCTTTCTCTCGCTCGCCCAAACACCGGTATGAATCACTCTTCCTCTCTCGATCTCTCAATATCTCTCGATCTCTCAATTCCTCTCTCTCGATCTCTATCGACTCTCTCTCTCTCTTTCTCTGTATATATATTTGCTAGGGTTTAGATCGATACATTCATCTGGCCTTCGCGATTTCTATTCTTCAATTTATGTTCTTTGCGATTTCTTCTTATGATCGATGCCTTCAATATCATTTGGAATTCTGTTCTTCGCGATTTCTTCAAAGGTACGTGATTTCTGTTTTTCACTATTTCATTTCATGTAGTTTCAATTTCCAGCAAATAATCGCTTTGTTCGCACTCTCTTCTTCTCTTCGATCATTGTATTTCCTCTTTCTATCTACTTCTTATATTTCAATTGTTGTTCATTGAGGCCATAATTATATTTCAATTCTTGACAATTTTTATTGTGATTTCTGAGCATCAATACTTTTTTCAACATATGCAAAAATTGCTACATATATAGATCAATGGTGATATATATAGAATTGTGGACCTTTGATTAATTTCATTGATATACCTATAGTTGTTGCTGTGGATTGCAATTGAATTCCTTTAGATTGTGTTTATTGAGAGATTCTCTGAGAGCAGTGGATTTGGGCCAAGGTTTTCCCCTTCTCTCTTTCATTCTTCTTCTGATTCGGGTATAATTAGCAAAGAATCAATATAATTTTCATTCTGCTAAACTTTCTGATTTCAATACAGTATACAACATGAATGTATGTTTTGATTTCATTAAATTCTATTACAGGGTAATGATTACAGGGTAATGATTATTCCACATGAGAGTCTAAGGAATGACAATTCCAATGCATGTTTGTTTCACTGGAATGGAATGATCATCCCATTAAAATATTCATTTCTGGTTTACCAAAAAATAATGAATAACAAATTGCAAATAGAATTATCATTCACCATTACAATTGTAATGATCATTCCATATGAGAGTCTGAGGAATGACCATTCCATTCCATTCCATCTCATTCTAGTGAACCAAATAGATCATTACTTCTTTACCTGCGAGCTCTTGATGATTTTTTGAGATGTATTAACATTATTAGTAGTAGTGTTAGTAGTAGTAGTAGTGGTAGTATGCTATTAGAATTAAGGTTTGTCCCAACGACGTTGTTGTTTGTTGCATAGGTCAAATTTGGAATTGTGATATGTAGGACGTGTGTTAGCAAAAACTAGTTCACATGCATTTTTGTAAGCAAATTTTCGTTGAAATGCTCGCGAAACATAATTTTAAATGTGTCCTTCAACATGCATTGTATAATGCATTGCACTCGAAGTTGATAATAAGTTTCATATGCTCACTACAGATTTGTGGAGCTCTTGTTGCAACTTTCTTTGCATGCTTTGCGGGAGGTTCATAGACGAACATTTCCAGTTGATGTAGCTTCTAACCCACTGCCGGCTTCATTGGCAGATGTATCTTTTTCGCATGCAGCTACACTATTTCCTGTAACAAAGGTAATTCTGATTATTAAATCCTTTTGCAAATGTAACAATTAAAGGACATGTATTTTATCGGATAACTTTTCTGATATGGTCAACTTCAATGATATTGTAAATAAAAAAAATTGCAACTCATGTGATTGACATGGATAAGAGACTAAGAAGCATGGATACGGACACGTTTCACATACACAACGCGATATTTCTCTATTGGCCAAACTTTATCTAAGTCAATATTGATTTTGCTTGCTGTATGCAAAATATATGGAAGTTTCAGTCTCAATTTTATTTTGTGTGTCAATATTGATTTTGCTTGCTGTATGCAAAATATATGGAAGTTTCAGTCTCAATTTTATTTTGTGTGTCAATATTGATTTTGCTTGCTGTATGCAAAATATATGGAAGTTTCAGTCTCAATTTTATTTTGTGTGTCAATATTGATTTTGCTTGCTGTATGCATGTTGGGCTATTAGTATCAAGCATGTGGAGTAAATGTGTCACGGATTAGTTTAATCTAGACGGTTTTCTTGTGCTGCTGGGAAAAAAAAGTGATTCAACTTCAAGATTTGGTGTACTTTGCAACCCTTTATATAGAGCATTTGATGCTTTCCCTCAAAAGTTTGCATGTTATTTTAACATTAAAAGATTTCAGAAGAAACTTACTATATGCTGTTTTTTCTTTTGAACTTGTATCTAGCTCCAGTCAGAATTCTCATTTAGTTCAAAGAGCAACTTGTATATGGGATTCTTTATTAGCTCGAAAGAGTAAGTGCAAACATCTTATTGATTGCTTTATCTTTTCTGTACTCCCTTTGAAGTTTCTTGCATGTATATTTCTTGGAATATGCATGCAGCTTGGCTAGAAATCACTGTTTCAGACCACGGTTGGGATAGGCTTTCTTGAGTTGAGTCATATTGTTTCGGGCATTGGTGAGATTTTTGGCTCACTCCATAGAATCGAATTCATTGTTCAATCTTCAAAGGTGAACTGCATCATTCTTTCCCTCCCTTATTCTCTTCCTCAATCTTCATCTCTTTCTCACTCTATATGTATATAAAATTATAAATACATGTGTGTTCCTTGAATAACTGCTTATTACTGGGAATATCAACTTATTTTTTATTAAATAATAATAATCCAGTTACATGAATATGAAATGCACATTTTATTTTTTGGAATTCTTTGTTCTTGTGAGGTTTTGGTTAGGGAGAAAGGAAGATATACTCGAATTGTAGTGATGTTTTCCTAAATTACGGCAATATTTGAATGTCTATTGCGTAGCATCTAGTTTGTTTTTTTAGCCTATTCGATTCAACATGGTTTATTTTGTTTCATTTGGAATATCAGCATCTAGTATGTCTGTTGCCCTTTTCTTGACTTTTGTGTCATACTTCAAAACGAATTGAAAATCATTAAATTCTTTGTACCCTTTTCTTGACTTCAAATGTAATTGGAATGCTTGTGTATGTTACGAAATGATATCCTAGTTAATGGACCTAGTTTGGCTCAGTGTCAACCCAAGAAGACCAGTTCATTTCACTATCCATGTCCACATCCCACAACTCCTCTTTATTTCTTTGCTTGCCATAAAACTGCTCGGTGAGATTAGTTTTCGTAGCTTCTGGTAGTTTAACAGTTCATAATCCCTTCATAATATTCCAGCCATAATTATGGAAATTAAGATCTGTGACTGCATTCTTTATACAGCTAGACTTTCCTGTTGATCTTCTTTTCATTATTGTGGCAGCTGTTGAATTTTTACGAAATGTACCTGAAGGAAAGTATGATGCAATTATTTTTGATTCATCAGACCCTGTTGGTATGTTTGTAATTCAAACTTTCTACCTGTTTTCCTTTTTGCCTATTTATTTGCCTTTGTTACAGTGCTTTTCAGAATGTTACTTAACAAATGCATCATGATCTCAAACTATGCAAAGAAAAAAAAATTTTGATTGACAATTGTCTTAGTTTTTCTTTTATATTTCTAGTCCTTGAAATTTAGGACCATATGTATTCACAATATGGAAGGTTATCTAAATTTTCTCTTGATTTTTCTGCTATTTGGAATATAGGCACATGATTATGCATGAGTAGATGTTATATATTTCCGAACGCCATGACTTTAGGGTCCAATTTAACCTTGGGAGACACAAGGGATGTAGCTGAAGCTCTTGCCAGGTCAAAACAGGGTTAGCATAGTTCACTTTTTCTTGTGCAATTCAATTTGATATAGTGCTTTGTCTTCCCCCCAACTCTTTCTTTTTTTATTCTTTCCGTTTGAACACTAAATCGTTGAGTTTCTATGCAGTTGAGTTAGCTAATGAAGCATCTGATGGGAATGCAAACCAGGAACGCTTAGGTAGGATTTCTCAGTTAGCTGAGATTGAGAATCTTCAGCCAAGTTTGATATATGGGAATGCAAATCGTTGAGTTTCTTTTTTTTATTATTTCAAGCTAAACTAACACATTGAAGTGCATTAAATTTTCAAGTCAAGTTTGATATATGTTTTTACAGATTTTGTTGAGGGAATAGTTGATATGATCGAGCGGTTGATGTTGGGAGCCAAAGATTATGTTGCTCTTTTTTTTTTCTTTTTTTTTTTTTAACAAAGATTATGTCGCTCTGTTTTTGTTTTTGTTTTTGTTTTTGTTTTTGTTTTGTTTTTTTTTTTTTTGAAGACTTGAATTTTTTAGTACAGTTTATTTAAGGATGGTTAATGGATAATGTTTGTTATAAATTTAATTAATTTGTTAATTTTGTTATTTTTCATTTACAAAAAATTGTATGGTGCTTGTAATTGATTTTTTTGTTGTAGCAAACCTATATATGAATTTTTTTAATAAATAATTATTTGCGACGGTAAAACAATGGTCGCTAGAAGTGTTTTTTATTTTTTTATTTTTTTTGCGATGGCAAAATAGCTGTCGCAAAAAGTAGTTTAGGCAGTCGCAAATAATTTGCGACCGTTGTTTTGCTGTCACAAAAAGTATTTGCCACCCCCACATTTGCATCCCCCATATGTGGTCGCATAGGCCGTCGCAAAAAGTCTTTTGCGACTGTATTTTTATTATTTGCTACGGCATGTGGCGGTCGCAAAAAGTGTTTTTTTTAGTAGTGATATCTAGAGGATTTCTAGATTTTTCAATGGTTGCCCCGTGTTGGAGATTTTGGCCTAGCTAGATTTTGCCCAAAGCTTACCATTCCTAATCAAAGTAGTTCAATTGGAATAAGGGGATCCATTGGATATGTACCTCCAGGTAACAAATTCTCTTTACCCTTCTTTTACTTTGACATATGCCTATTCTCGGATGAAAATTTAAAGTTCCAAACAAAATATAAGTTAACTATCATTGAAGGAATGTTAAATGGGTACTGATCTATCCATTTCTCAAGATGGAGAATTTCGTATGGTTACCTTAAGACCTAGTCTGTAGCTAGTCAACTGTCAGTCATAGAATAAATATACGGCTATGATTTCCATTGCTAAAATTGGGAATATGTATAATGTACTGCTTTTCATATTATTATTTTGACATTCTCGTATACTAGATTTGATTGTTCCTTTTTTTCTTTTACAATATTTTTGTTTTTAGGCAAAACAAATCGTTAGGGGTTTTCAATGTGAATTGTTTTAATGGCAGAGTATGGTCTTGGAAGTGAGATGTCACCTTATGGAGATGTCTACAGTTATGGGATCCTTTTATTGGAGATAATAACATGGAAGACACCCACTGATAGCATGTTTGAGGAAGGCCTTAATCTTCAGAGCTTTGCTATGATGGCCTTTCTTGACCATGTGATGCAGATTGTAGACCCGGTGCTCCTAGACAACGACAAAGAAAAGGCAAGAGCAACAGCCGCAGCTACTACTGTTGGTGCCAGAACTTGGGAATCAATTCAAGAGAACAATGGCGATAAAAAGGGGGAATGTCTAATTTCCATAGTCAAGATTGGAGTGGCATACTTGATAGAGTCACCACAAGGTCGAATGAGATTAAGTAATATCCTTCATGAACTTCATTTGATCAAGAAGAAACTCCTTCAAGATGAACTTTCAACAATGTACAGAATTGATCATTTCTTGCTCAATATTTTTAACTTCCTTCTTCTATAGATTTGCACCTATTGTTTTTGTTGCATTGGCATTGATCCTCCATGAATTGTCCTTGTTAACAGGAAACCGCA